GGAAGAGACAAGGAATCAATAGGAGCTTGTAGATCCATGAGTTTGGCATCATTTCTGACTCTTTTGAGGTATCAAGTTCCAAACTTGACCATTGCATGCTTAGATTTGATTTTGGGATGTTTTATGTCACTTTTGGACTCCATTGTTGAGGTTGCTTGCATCTTGTTAGTTTCAGACCAAAAGAGCTGTCCTTTTGAGCTCTTCGAGGCATTTAGAGTCATAAAAATCAGACCTTGATGGTTAAGCCACAACCATGCAAGTGTTTGATGGTCTTAAAGCTTGTTAAATGACCAACATCATGTTTTGACCCTCACCCATGTGTGCAAGCACATAAAGTTTGTGACTTTATGGTTTAGGAGGTCTTAAATGACCTGGATCTACATTTTGGACGTGAAGACTTAATGGATTAAGTCACAAATGAAGTCCCAAGGAAGTTGGCCAGTACGCTAAGTGTACACCCTGGTACGCTGCGCGTACTGGGTCAACTTCCCGTTTGCGGTCAAGGCCAGCGTACGTGCCAGGTACGCTATGCATACGTATGCAGAGTGGCTACCTTGGGCTTTTTGGGCCTTAGAAGGTTGGGCCTAGACTATTGGGCCCTGTGGCCCACTGTGGAGCATAGTTATGGGCCTAGAAATTTGGAATTAGAAGTATTGGGCCTTTTGGGCCTTTTGGGCCATATTGGGCCACTCGAGATTATTCATTATGGGCTAAGGCTTTATTGGACTTGTGGAAAGGCCCATTTGAAGTTTTGGGCCCAATTTAGAAAATTGGGCCATTAGTGGACCCTTAGGGAGCCTTTGATGGGCCATAGGTGTACTGGGTTTAATAAGTTAGAATGGGCCTCAGGAATGGTTCAAGTTAGGCCAAGGGGGTAAAATGGTCATTCCCCCTAAGTAGTGTTATAGATTCTGATTGAGTATTATTATGATTATGATAGCCAGGAGTCATCGGAGCAGCTGTTAGAGGTTACTTCCCGTGAGATTCGACACTCAGCTTTACGAGGTGAGTTACCTTCCAGTAGAAGTGGGTCTAATGCCACAATGACGGCCCACTAGTAGGAGTTTGTAGTTAGATGATTGTCTGTGTGATAATTGTCTGGTATGCCACTATCTGTTATGTTCTATGTGCCAATATGCTATGATTCTATGTGGTAGTGGTAGTGGGTGAAATAGTCCCCGATATCCGGTTGAAATAGACCAAAGGAGAGGCCAACACCCAGATATGCTAGACAATTATCCGGTTGAAATAGATCGAAGGGGAGGCCAGCACCCAGATATGCTAGGCAACTATCCGGTTGAAATAGACCGAAGGGGAGGCCGGAACCTAGATATTTCTCTGGCTAGATATTTTATTGTATGGTATGTGGGATGATGGGGGAACTCACTAAGCTTTGTGCTTACAGTTTCAGTTTTGTTTTCAGGTACCTCTTCTTCGAAGGGGAAGGAGTCGGCACAGTAGCAGCGCATCACACACACAGGATTTCCGCACTATGAGATTCATGGGATTGTACTCTGACATTATTACTGCTTTATGTTATGTTTTGAGACATGTGACTATGATTTTATGAAAAGATACTATTCGATGATGTTTTTCAGTAAACAATTTTATAAGCTAGTTAATTAAAAATGAAATTTTTAGTCTTGAAATTTGGGATGTTACATATACCAGATTTTATTCTGGCAGAATGACATTCTTTAAGAAGACATAAATAACAAGAAAACATGAATAAGTACATTATGAAAAAATACACAAAATCGATTCTTGAACTAATAATATATCAAATAATTACGTTGTATGATCGTGATACAAAAAAAAACATTCTTGAACAATGATATTCTAAAAGAATAACAAAATGTAATTCTTAAAAAAAATAACAACATTCTTAAACTGTGAATGTGATAAATCTTTGATTCATTCTTCAAATCATTCCTATCAGGTCTTTAAGTCATTCTTCAAGTCATTCATTCGTGTCCTTGATCAAAACATTTTATGAGAATAACTGTCATGAAATTATATTCTGTCAGAATGAGTGACATTTAGAGAGAAACATCTTATTAAAAAATAAGCAAAAAAAAAACAATTCTAATCGAAACATTTAATCTAAGAGTAAATTACACGAATGGTCCCTATGGTTTAGGGTAATTTGCGTGTTTGGTCCCTAACTTATTTTTTTAACTCGTAAAGTCCCTATCGTTTGTTTTTGTTACGTGTTTGGTCACTGTCTTACCTAAAAAAGCTATTTTTCCCTTAATTTTTTTAATTTATTTAAATAAACACACCCCCAACCCCATCCCCTCACCTTATCTTACCTACCTCATCATTTTTCCCTATTTAAATAATAGTATTTTTAGGTAAGATATGGACCAAGCACGTAACAAAAACAAAGAGTAGGGACCAAGCGCGTAACAAAAACAAACAGTGGGGACTTTCCGAGTTAAAAAAATAAGTTAGGGACCAAGCGTGCAAATTACCCCAAACTATAGGGACCATTCGTGTAGTTTAGTCTTAATCTAAAGTGCAATTACAATTTAATTCTAACAGATTGTATATGACATTTTAAATTTTGGCAGAATGCATACATCATTTACAAGCCCTTGTCCTTCATGAGCACCTTGACAAAATATATCACAAACATTCTATTAGAATATTATAAAAACATTTTTTTTCTTAAGTTGGCACCATAAACAAGAAATAAACCGATAACCAAGCACCCACCATCAGACCATTTCACCCTTCTGTTTAGGATCGAATTAGAAGAAGTGAGGGTGAAGGGTAAAGGAATAACAAGGAGGTCTGAAATCTGAATGGATGTGACTAAACCCATTAAGACCTTCTGTGTGTATTAAGTTATAAAGAAATAGACACTCCGGGTTGTTTCCTTTTTCCCCATTAAGTGATAAATTTTGTATAGGTTGTTTCATTCTGTCTTAGAAAATAAACAATCTTTCTCCATACAAAACTACTCCAGACAAAGTGACAGACATCATTTATCAGCAATAAATCAAGGATTATGGGACATTTGTTTAATTTAATTGTCAAAAGCTTGATCCAGATTCATTTAGATCGTTTCTTTTCCAGGACAACCTTACAAGTTACAATTACACATAGAGCAAAGTCTGCAATTTAACAAAATTCAATATTCAATAATACCAAAACATAATTATTGTGATATGATATGACTAATGAGCTTTAAGGCCCTGATTATAGGCATAAAGGAAACTGCGAGGACTTACTGCACTACAGGCACAACAGTAAGAAACTTCCTGTTGTGAGTGAGTTGCTTGCCACTATTAATTTTCTCCCACCATGTCAACCTGTTGTAGATACCTTGGTCATCAGCAAAAGGTGTTCCCTTCTTCCAGTGAAAGAAGTGATATGTAACCTAATAGAAAAAAAAATCAGTACTTAATTTTATCTAGATACAAACAAAATTGAATGCATATGGAAGCAACATATGAAGGAGCGTGATGAATAGGTTGGTTGTATAGAGCAAATACCGTACACTGGATGCGAAAAAGCCAATTTAAGTTTGGGTGTGAGATCGGTTAATGTTTCTGAAGAGTATCCCTAGGTCGACTTCCTTTCATTGAACTTCCAATTTTCAGCAGCTACAAGGAAAGGGATGGCAGAAGGTGGCGGTTTTCCGTCCGATTATGGATACGAGATCAAAACTCAAGAATTTCAATGCATCATGGTCTGCTGATGGCGATTTTGGCATTGATGGAGATGCATGATTCTCATTAGCAGCCAATCTTCAGAATCGTTTGAACTTAGAATCTTCAGAATGTGATGGTGATTTTAGGGGTTATTGTGGCAGTGGTGGTCGTGGTGTCCAATGACTTTTGTGGTTTAGGGTTAGGTTGAGAAGACGAAATCGGTGATTGTAAGGTTATAGAGAAGCAGGTAGTATTTTAAGGGAAAGTAATCCAATATTTTAGGGATTAATTAAATATTATTTAATTACTAAAATTAATTAATAGGTAAGATTACCATTTTATCCTTATTTAGGTTTTTGAAATGATTGGCCTATATTGATTCTTACATCCACACAATAATTAGTTAGAATACTTGAACATATATTATATATATATATATATATATATATATATGATGAGGGTTTAATTGAGAAAAAAAATGTTGAGAATGGTGGAATCATTCTCAGCCACACATTTATTTTGCCGCAAAACACTTAGGCGTACCGGCGGAAATGGATAACGAATAAACATGTGTTTTCCATCCAAACATGTTTCCTTAAACTATGTTAATCATTACCTTAATATACACAAAAACATACTTTTTTTTGTTTTTTTGATTTTTAGAAAGTCATTTTTATTGAAAAATTATTTTAAATATATCAAAATTCATAATTTTTTATTCTCTATAAATAGACATCCATATTGATATAGTTTTGAAATAAAATAAAAAATTTATTTTTCTTAGAGTTTCAGCTCTCGTTATTCATAAGTGAATAAAAATCTATCAGATTTTTATTAAAGTACATTTGTTATTCAATTATGAATAAAACGTATGATTAACTTTTTTTATAGTTTAAGTGTCGTTCATATATGAATATGACACGTAATAAAGTTTTGTTACTTAAAATATATTTTTTACATCATCTTTCGTCATATATTATACTTATATATGAATAAAATGTGTATTAGTTGTCGTTATATTTTATATTCATATATGAATAAAACATTTATCAGATTTTTGTTACAGTTAATTTGTTATTCATATATGAATAAGTAGTATAAATGATATTTAAACTGTAAAAAACATTAAAATCTGATGTATTTTTATTCACTTATGAATAACGATAACTGAAAATATAAAAAAATAATAATTTTTATATTTTATCTTAAAAGTATATCAATATGGATGTCTATACTCGATTTTATGAATTGTATTTTTTTTTATCTTTTTTATGGTGTCCTCACGAGTACTCATTTTAAAATGAGTTATCATCAGATCCTCTCTCTCTCTCTCTCTCTCTCTCTCTCTCTCTCTATCTATATCTATTATATATATATATATATATATATATATATATATATATATATATATATATATATATATATCAAAAGTTAAAGTTCACGTCATCATCATATTCTTTATTATCTAAAGATATGATATGCATATTCTCTATTTACGTTTTCTTTGTGCTTACATTTTCAATAGTTCGTCAGTTCAAATTTTTAATCTTGACATGGTTGTTGTGTTCAAATTAGTGTTCGAGTATGCTTAGAAAGAGTAAAAGTCAGTCGGTTGATGAACTATGTGACGAATGGTCATATGAAGATTTAAAAGCTGTCAATAGAAGTTGGACATTTGTACTTTAATCGCAAAACTTTCGAAAATGGGGAGTTTGGTGAAGAGAAAATAAGTGCAAGTACTTTTGAAGCTAATGGCCACCCATATTTCAAGAATTGCAAATGTGGGGCTCCTAAAATGTATCTAAATCTTGTTTGGTACTCAACAAAAACTTTTTTGCTTTTTCTCACCTACTCTTAACGTTTTTGAGTTTGTGTTCAAGGATAACCTAGAATATTACAAATACTAACCTTTAACGGGAAACCTTTGTAATATTTATTTTAGTTTTTAAAAACATTATTATAGTCGCAAATGAGACGTTACACATAAACATCAACAGTCACACACACTTCATCAATGATTGTCCCACGTAAGATGTCGTGAGAAAAATTTAAAGAAATCATTCATAAGATTTGAATGAGTACAAAAACAAAAATGACTTATTTTGAAACAAAAAAATATTAAGGACTAAATGTATACAAAAATATTAATGACTAAATGTGTACAAAATGATAAATATATTACCCTATTAAGTCATTTTCCCGGCTAACCTGGAGTAACCGGTCATAAAGACTGAATGTGTACAGTTTAAGTTGAAAGGGTAAATGTGGACGAAAAAAAAATCAGTGTGTACAAATCAAAAAATATATTACCCTTTTAAGTCATTATCTCCAATAATTATATTAAAAAAAAAAAGGTTAAAGTAAGGAATTGTCGACAGGAATATGATAAAAGTGTACTAAAACAGTTAGAAGGACAATAAGTATTATACTATTTCACTACCCTCGTTTTAAGCTTCTTCATCCTCGCATCTAAAATCATGTTCAAGGAAACTACCAATATGCAATATGCTATTTCACTACCCTGATTTTAAGCTTCGTCGTCCTTGCATCTAAAATCATGTCCTAAATCAAATCAAATCATTCATGTCTTAACCTTCCAGCATATCCTTCTTAAACACACTCTCTTGTATTACTTTGTTTCAAATTAACAAAACAAAAACTTAATTACTATTATTTAGTAATAGTATTGTGTATAAAAAAATACGACCTAAAAATTCTTCCCATGATAAATGAATTCCACACAAATATCAACATGTATAACAGCCAAACCCTAACCACTATACATTCCAACTCATTTGGCATCTTCATCTCTCTCAAACCTAGCAAGGTTTTACACAACACTATTACTAAATAATAGTAGTAATTAAGATTCCAAATCAAACACATGACAACTTCCAAATCCTTCAAATTACAAATACTTTGTTTAAGATTTCCAATTCCAGTTGCTGTTTAAGTAAAAATGAAAACAAGAATGTCTTGAAAGTACCTCACCTTACATCCTTCTCAAAAATTGCACATTTTTCTTTCTAGTTAAAAACCTCACTCGTTTTAATGTAAATAAATGGTACTATGTTTTTAATTGGCCCCACCAAATTTGCTCATCATTTTAGCAATGAGTGGAGCCACCTTTGGGTTTGCTTGGTGCTTTGCAAGATTCGCTGGATTCTTCATCACTGCAAACAATTAAATATATTGTGAATTATAAATTACTTTTATTTCTATATCTTTCCATAACAATAATGTTTACAAAAATTTCCAAAACTGAAATTAAATTACATACCATCTTGCAGAGCAGCCATTACTTCAGGGTCTTTGAATGCTGCCATCAACTCAGGATCCTGTGTACCCATTTCAATACATCAAATATTTACTTAATATATATATTTAAAAAATGTAATCATCAAATGTAAAACTAAAAGTGACTCACATTTAAGATCTTGCTGTAGTCAATGCCACCTGGCATACCACCTCCAGCTGCACCGCCACCTGGCATTCCACCTCCTGCTGCACCGCCACCAGGGAACCCACCTGGCATACCACCACCAGGGAATCCACCTGGCATTCCACCTGGGAATCCACCTGGCATGCCACCAGGGAATCCACCTGGCATGCCACCTGGGAACCCACCTGGCATGCCACCTGGGAATGGCATTCCACCTGGGAAGCCACCTGGCATTCCTCCGGTTCTTTCACTTGAAGATGCTTTTTCTTCTTTTTTAGCCTTTTCATATGCAGCCTATGCATCATAACATGTGATGACATCAGTAATAGAACTATAGAAGAGGGAATGGAATGTATGAATGAAAAAAAAAAAAAAATCCTGTTTGTTTGCAACAAAGGAATGGAATGGAGCATTATGGCATAATAAAATCTATTTAGTTGCAAGAAAGGAATGGAATGAAGCATTTTTCATGAAATGTGATTCCTTCTCTTGGACTGATTTTCATTCCATGGAGAAGGGCTGTTTTTTTAATTCCTCCACATAATAGAATGATATATAAAAATTATAAATTACTTTTAATCATACAATCTTCAATAATACTAATATTAAAAATAATAAAAACTTTAATTTTATTGTTTTTATTTTACACGGATGACTAAATATATTTCTTATTATATAATTTTATTTCAAGATTTCATGGTATTTACTTATTCTGTACACATTTTTAGATGATAAATGGCTGTTTTTAACCATTTGAAATACATACAACATATCAAACGAAACAAAATATGCTTATATATAATTTATTTAACAGTACACTTTTATTTAATTAAAGTTCATATTTACAAAATATCGTTTTTTTTTTGTTTATTTATCAATTTAGTTTCACATAGTTTTTTCTATTTATACATAACAAACAACATGTTTATACGACTCATTCCATTCCTTCAACCAAACGCGACAATGGAATGTAATGATTCATTCCATTCCATTATGTTGTTCATTCCATTCCTTTGTGATTCCATTCCATCATATTAAAAGAAAGAATTTACCTTGGCTTCAGCCCTGCGACGTTGCCTCTCACGTTCTATTTTCCTGTCCTCCCTTTCTTTTCTTAGCTTATCATATTTCCTACGGTGTTCCACAATCTTGTGTGCATTTGGTTCAACCTAAATGCACCATAAAATAAGAATCAGGATTCATAAACCAGTTTTAAAAAATGATAATGTGGTTTGACAATTAACCTTCTTGAGAATGGTACTTATTTCTTCATCAAAATCAATATTAGAAGCTACATGAAGATCTTTTGCAGCCTTTTCCCACTGACCGAGCATTGATAGTGCAATTCCACGTGATTTATAGCCTTTAGCAGAATCTGGATTTATCTGGAATTATTCAACAAAAATATATATATACAATGAGATGAGATATGAAAGAAACTGATAAACCAACAATAGACACCATTTGACTTGTTGACATATATGGAAAAAAGGAACTACCTGTAGAGCAGCATCAGCATCTCGAATCGCAGCATTTGGTTTCTTCATTTTGATATAAACAGAAGCTTTATTGAAAAAAAGAAAAAAAAGTTAAAAGATATCACAGACAAGAAACTATGATCAAAAATGTAAAAATTTAGTTGAAACTCGAATTCAGTTGTACCTCTTGTTGCATACATAATAGCAGAAGTGGGGTTGAGCAGTATTGCCTCAGTGAGGTGCTCAATTGCTTCCTCTAGCTTACCTGTTAACAACAATCAATTAGCACTAATTAAAAAGTAACAAGCATACACCAATTTATACCACTGAAAGTACAACTTCGCATGAAAAAGGGAAACAAACCATCAGAAATTGCTTCCATGCCCTTTGCTTTGGCATCTTGAGAAGCATCACGATTTTCTTCAGAGACCTCCACTGAAGAATCTCCCATCTAAAATTGAAAACAAAGAGACACAAAAAGAAGCTATGAGGAAAATACAAAATCACTAATTACAAACCAGAAAGATGGATGACAGAAGTATGGGCATACCTTTTGTGGTGGATCATTATCAGGCTCCACAGTCTCACCTTCAAATTCAATATCGGATTCTATTATCTCATCGTCTTCTTCTTCAGGTTCTTCAAAATCATCTTCTTCCTCTTCCACCACATAAGGCTTCTGCAAAGTCAGAGTTGTTCAATCATTTAATAACCAATCAATACAAATTCTCATTGTCAAACTGGTGATTCAAATGGATTTACATCAATTTTGAACTTGAAAGTTAGTTGACTCATGCGTATCAATACATTTGCATACAAATAATTAGGTCACGCATACATCTAATTTGGATTAGTTTTGTTAACAACGGCGTTTACACCATTATACAGCTTTTACCCCAAAAAATGCTCCGATCATTCATATTCATCATCAACAACTGTAAACAGTAAATAAATCAGGAAAAAGAGGTACCGATTGCGATTCACTCTTGTAAGCAGATGACGGAAGTTTAGCTCCGAGGCTGAAATCAAAAACCAAACATGTTTCATACGAATTAGTATAAATCTATAATCAATCAAAAAGGACGTGCGACAAAACCGCATATTGTATGAATGCACTTACCTTTCAAGATAGTCGCGGAAGAAGGAGAGTGAAGGATCGCTGAGAATGGAGGGATCGGACTTGCACCGACTGATAAATATCTTTAGCTGCTCTAGTCTAGCAGCGTCCATCGCCGTTGTAGATTTGCCGGAAAAAATGGAAACTAAGGGTTTTACAATTTGTGTAGAGTTTTGGGGGCGGTTTTGGTTAGCTGGGCGATGGACTGGAGGTGACTTCACACTTGAGTCACAAAGATGATTCTAGGAGCTTCCATTTACACTATTTTAAAGTATATTGTAAAAATGGTCCTTCGACTATTTCGCAATATTCATTATTTGCTTTTGATTTCTGGCTTTTAATGTTTTTGTTCAAAAATCTAAATCTTGTAGAAGGTTTATCGAGAAGGTAAAAAAGGTAAACCTTACCCTAAGAGATTCACATAACATCGATGTTAAGGTTATCAAGTGAGAGGCAAATCGTAGAGTATTAATAGTCAAGGGGGTATGACTAGGGGGTATGTAGAGTTTTGAACCTAAGACCTTGTTTTTAGGATTCCACGTCCCATCCATTCATTGGCGAAGGATCACGTGTGGCCATGGACTAGAAAGCATGCCCCAAATCTTGCGAGTGTAGAGGATTGTAATGGATCATGTGTGTATAGACATGTCTATAATATTTATTATGTTTCGAACGAGAGATTGACCCAATGAACTAAAGGTCTTCACAATTGCATTGACAAAGGTGAGAATGAGTATGTACAAGGTGTAGGAGGCATTTGGTTGGGTTCCGTAGTTGGACTAAGTCGGGTATATATGTGGTTTGGACTAAGTCGAGTATATATGTTGTTTTATATGAGTCTGTCATATTTGTCTTATGAGACTTTCCAACATAGCATATTAATTTAACGTGTGTCTCAACTAGATGTGTTAGTATTATTTGTGATTAGTGATGTATGATTTGGTTTGTGATTAGAGTAGACCTGACAATTGGACGGTTTTGGAGCGAATCGACCTTGATCCAAACCCTTTTAACAAATTTGATAATCCAATCTAAACCCGCTCTGTAATCTGTAGGTTTTCAAATAATTAAACGCATATACAAACTCACCGTGTAACCCGTAAGTTTTTCGAATAATCAACACATTTTACTTAATTCTCAAAATAAGAATTCTTAAAAAATGTATACTATAGCTTACTACTTAGCTTACTGCTTAAAAGAACATTTCTTAAATAAAAGAAATGTTGATTTAGAAAATATATTACATACTCGAAGACTTTCGATTGGAATTAAAAATCACTATTGGAGTAAATTCTGATTTATTTCTAACTGTCAATTGTAGTGATAGAGAATACCAGTTGCAAACTTTCTTCCGGTTGATAAATGAATTTATTGATTTATAAACGAAACTGACGATCGCTTGATGAAATATAAATGAAATGACATCATGATTTTTGGTAAATATTATAAGTCTATAAGTCGACTCTAGAGTCCTATCTAAAAATAGTTTGGTCTTTGGCTTTTGTCCATTGGATTTGTGAATGGAATTAAAATTAAACGTTAAACAATATAAAATATAAGTGTATAATTCTAAAATGTATACGGGACGGATTATAAACGGAACGAATCAGTGATGATATCCATACCCAACCTTTTTAATAAAAGAGTTAGCGGGTATGGGTTGTTAACGGGTAAACGAAACAAAAAACTATACTCCAAACCCATCTCGGATCAGGGTCAAAATCCGCTCCGTTGACAAGTCTAGATTAGAGACATGTTTTAGTTTATTTATTTAGCCTTGGATTTAGTACTTATACTTTTTCATTGTGTATGATGCTTGATTGTACATCCCTTATGGCTTTTGTTTAGAGTTTAGACATTCTTAATTTTTATTGGAATGTTTAAACTTTATGATTTTTGAATGTGATTTTCATGATTAATATGTTTGATCATAATATAATGTTATTTTCAAATTAGACATATTTTGCAGGAGTTCATGGTTTCGTGATTATGATTAATATGTTGAATGTGGTTTTCATGGTTTTCATGATTAATATGTTTAATCATATAATATAATATAATATTCAAATTGGACATGTTTTGCATGATTTCACGATTAATGTCAAATTGAAGACGAGTTTACAAATAAGACAGTGAATAACTTGATCTAAGCTATCCATAAGCATGGCGTCAAATGTCTCTAGGTCCCAACCAATAATGATCTTCATACTCTTTGGACTCATGTTACTATTAGATTACCAACGCCACACACCAAACACTTCCGAAAAACAAACAAATAACTTTAAGGTTACATATGAGATTCCAGAACAACAGAGTTGAAATTGATTATATCAAAACATATATTTTCTATAACATAAACCTCTTTACAATGTTAGAAACTATCAATTATAAAAATATAAAGATCCAAACTAAATCTACCCAAGATTAGGAGTGTGCAAAAATTAACCAATCCAATTACGAGCCGACCAATTGGATTGGATATCCAATTACAATTAGATTGTATTGGATGCGAAATTTTAAAATCCAATTGGATTGGATCGATTCTTGAATTAGTCTGAAAATCCAATAGATAACTAAACATATCGATCCAGTTGGATATCTAATTTTAATCCAATAACTATCCATTATTTGAACAATCCAAATCCAAATAAAATTATTAATTATTCAATAAAAAAATAAGTCGGAGACTTGAAGTTAATGTTACTTTGTTAGTCTTATTTTATGTAATTGTGTACGGTTTATTTTTAGTTATCATAGTTATAATTGGTTGAATAATGAATAACTAATGGATTAAGCCAATAAAAAATATCCAATGGATAAAACCAATCCGGTCCAACATCCAACTGGATTGGTTCGGTTCGTTCGGGTTTTGTTTACTATATTAAATTGGATCCGTTGATAAAATCCAACATCCAATAGATGATTGGATTAGATAGGATCTATCGAAATCCAATGGATTTGATCTGACCCCTACCCAAGATTATATGATTACAAATAAATTTTGTTGGATGTTAACTAAAATATGCATTTAAGACATAAAAACCCATTTATTTTGAATGAAAAGAAAAAGTAATTAAATAAACACATGGAAAACTAATAGCCTTGATTTATTAAATTACACTCATAAGAACCATAAATAAATATATATGGTTTTTACACCAAGAATTATATAACATATGATGTCACAACAATAAATCATATATAAAGACATTTCTACAACTCCCAACTTAAAATAACATCATGCAAGCCGAAATCAATAGTAAACCAATGACCCCACTTGAAGCAATTTTACCCACACCGTTTCCACCCCCACCCCCAGGGGTCCTACCTGTAAAATACACGTAACTTTAAGGATTAGGTTTGTATGGTGGTAAATAAGGTTTTATTATTAAAGTCGATTTTTTTTTTAATTTTAGTCATTAATTTTTTTCTTTGTACAATTAAGGACCTGAATAAATAACCAAATATGAATTTTATAAATATAAAAAATAGTGTTTTAAACTTGCATATATTGATAGTGTAAAGAATCAAAGATACAACTTTCCATAATTCTTTTTGCCCAATGATCATATTAAATAAATATGTATCTCATAATTATAAAACACAAGTTATTAAAATGTTTTTGGTTTAGATATTTCAATGGTAAACAATTCCTGGTCAAAATTGAAGGCCACCGCTTAGTCAATTGACCGAGTCAATTCCAACATAATTAACTTGGTTCCACGATCAAGCAATTATTTTGTACATTTAAATTCCCACCAATATTCTTATAAATGTATAAATAAATAAATAATTTAGTTATAAAAAAATGCTGATTTAATTTAAAATTTGTCATAAAATAACACAAATTTATTTTTATGTTTCAAAATAAATAACAATTTCGCAATGACACTTGTGAATTCGTTGTAAATTCATTATCTGGTGGGAAATTGAATTTCTTTTCAGCTAAAACGATTTGTTTTGAAGGGTTTTTTTTTTTTTTTTTTGTAGTAAAAAAAAACAATATTTGACGTGAATTGGTTTCCAAAGAAAACGGGCCCAATCAAAATTGAAGAGCGATAATTGACGAATAAGGTATCAAATGTTATAGTTTAATTGCACTAATTATGATTAATATTTATGTTCATGTAGATTAAACAGGATCGTTGTTTCTCTTGATATAAATCTAATTTTACCCAAGTAATTAATCAGAAATAATAACAAAATTAGGTAAAACATAGTCAGGAGATCATGAAGTAGTACCTGGTGGAGTTTGAGTTGTGGATCCAGTTGGAGATTGAGCTGCAACATTTAATCATATAAAAAATTAGCATACATAGCAGTATATCATCAATCGATCGATGCCTTATGATGATCAATTCGAGTTCTTCTGTAGTATAATTTTATCAACAATCTGCTTGAAATAATCAAATGGTGATATTGATTTTACTGAATTATCGGCTTAAGAGGTGGATCGAAAAACATCGTACTGAATACTGATTTGGTATCGTGAGATCTAAAAAGCTAAAGCGAAATAGTGATTAAGGAAAACGATTGCTAACCAGTAGTGTTACAGGCGCTTGTGTCAGAGGAGATTCCACACAATTGAGGAAGACGAAGTGCCTGAGCAACATTGATTCCGATTCCAGACAAGAAGGCAGGATTCTCATAGAGGTTACACAGACATTGTAGATCGGTGGCCACCGCCTCCTTGATCGGATCGCAACAGGTGTTGGGCGGCTTTGTGGTGGCGTTGAGGTACTGAGCGCACGGGACTAGCTTCGACGCACACTCTGCCTGCGCCTGTGCCGTCGACACGGATATAGACATCACCATGAGCGCAACCACCACCGTGAGTAAGAAAGAAGAAGCCATCTCTGTAGATGATTTTTTTTTCTCTCTCTAAAAGTTAAAAGGATGGCGATTGGTTGACGATTGAAATAGGCAAATGGTTTAATTTATAAAGGGTCATGTACTCATGTTGAATAGCTTGAGTTTTATTTTGTAAAAGAAAAAAAAAGATATAAAAATACAATTAGACTATTATTATTACAAGTTCTTTTAGAGTTTAATATAATGTTTTTATTGTTTGAGTTATTTTTTGCGTCAATAATAATATCAATATTTTAAAAGAAAACGCAAATTAATAAACTTGTGTCTCATTTAACCAATAATGAACCAAAATATCGTATGGGCGTGTTTGACAAAAGTAGTTGTTAGCTGGAATGTTAGCGGG